CTTCCTGCAGCTGTCACAGCCTTCCCCAGGGCAGATGGACAGATGGACTGGTGCTCAGGGCTGGCACCGCCATGGAGCAGGAAAAAGCACTGACAGCCTGATGCAGAAGTGCTCTTCTGCTCTCTGACTTCTCGCAGCCAAGCAGGAGCCAGCCTTCGATGCCCCACAAGTGCATGGCCCCGCACTCACGCCTGCGTCCCCAGCCTCTCCGGTAAGCACCCACCTATCTCCAGGTCGGGGACTGCTCCTTTTGGCTGGGAATTGCCGTCCTGTTGCTGAGGAATGAGGAGAGTGGAGAGAAAGCAGCACTGTGTGAAGCTCTTTGCAGAACAGAGTTTGATGCACATGGGGCTTGTGGCCAGGGTGCTGGGGGGCTCAGAGTGAGGCCGGGTGGGAGTCAGCCCCAGTTAGAGAACTGGCAGAGCAGGGACAGACCTCACCTTAGGGCCCTGTGGGGCTCCCTCCCCAGTCCCACTGTGGGTTTTGAGTAACCAAAGGGGCTCTGTAAACCTGCCACACATGGAGTGCTGACCCCAATCTCCTTCCTGCTTTCCTGTCTTCTCTCTGCAGCAGAGCGGAGTCCCCGATGTTCCTGCTGTCTTCCTGCCCAGAATGGCCCAGCTGAGCTCAGTGCTGTCTCCTGGCTCCAGCCCTTCGCAGGAGGTGCCTGTGATGCAGGCAGGTGCTGCACCAGGGCCGCTGCGGGTCCCCAAGGTAGAGCGGCTCTCCCCAACACCGGTGTGTGGTGAGTCTGGGTGCCCGCAGGATGCCCCATATCCTGCAGGGAGCTTGAACCAAACACAGTTGTTGGTTTTTTTCCTGAGAAAGCTCGATTTATTTTTTATTCTTACTGCTTTTAATTAACCACCTGAATGACAATGATTTCATTCTGCTGGGGAGGGTGCCGACCTTTCGTCTGGCTCCTTCTCTGGGGGGCAAAACCATAAACAGGAAAAGACAAAATGTAGCAAGTGTCAGAATGTGGTTTTGAAAACCAGAGCTTGGTTTTAAGGCCGGAAGCACCCTGCTTTCACCCACAGAAGCCAGACTGGGGCAGGAAGCTCCCTGCTCATTTCCACTTCCAGTTGAGTGCTGTAAACCACAGCCCTCAGGACTCTCTCCAGGTGGTTTCCACTCTGCTGGAAATTTAAAATGTCATTTCACAAACGCTTCCATTTGTTGTAAAAATGAAAGTGATTTGGGATGAGATGGGGCAACAAGACGTGGTCAGACACGGGGCCATCAGCTGAGGGGTTGACTGCCCCAGAGCCAGGGCAGTACTGCAGTGCTCGCACTTTCCTCAGGGCACCCCCTCTCATCCCCCAGGCAGTGACTGGCCCAAGCCTGGCCAGGTGTCCCCAGGAGCTGCTCCACCACCTGGTACCACCACCTCCCTGCACCACCCACCATCCCGTCGGGGCAGGCCCGACTCCAGCAAGGTATGGTGGGAGCGAGTGTTGCCTTTTACAGGGGCAGCTTCTCCTTGTGCACCCCCTTCCCGCTGACCCCACATTCCTCCCCACCCTTGATGCATGCTTGGGGCCAGCCTGTCTCCAATGCAGGGAGAGGCCCAAGGCCATCTCTGCTGCCTGCAGATGGAGAGCCGGCGCATCACACACATCTCTGCTGAGCAGAAGAGACGTTTCAACATCAAGCTGGGCTTTGACACACTGCACAGCCTGGTGAGCACGCTGAGTGCCCAGCCCAGCATTAAGGTGAGCACACAGCGCTGCACGGGCTGGTGCTGGGCATGCAGGGACGCGGGACATCGCTCGGTGATGACATGGCCGTGGCTGTGCCGGCATGCACGCATTGTACCTAGGGCCTGCTGCCCGGTGCCAAGGCTCAGCAAAGGAGCACGTGGCCCCTTGTACCCTGCCTGCCCCAGGAGCTCCCTGCGCCATCCCACCTCTGCCACCCTGCAGGTCAGCAAGGCCACCACCTTGCAGAAGACTGCTGAGTACATCTGCAAACTGCAGCAGGAGCGGGCGGCCCTCCAGGATGAGGCGCAGCGGCTGCGGGAGCAGATTGAGGAGCTCAACAGCTCAATCAAGTAGGGGGGCATGGCTTGGGGGGGCAGCAGGGAGCTGCTGCCTGTGTCAGCACAGCCAGGCAGGGCAGATGGCAGTGCCAGGGGCAGCAGGCTGCAGCATCTCTTCTGAGCACTGCCTAGATCCTGCGTTTATCTGTGTTCCCTGTCGTGGGGCAATGCTCAAAAAGCGGTGCTGTGTGTGATGTGCTGCCCTGAGAACAAGATGCTGTCTGCTTGAGACGTGCAGAGCTACTGAGCCCTGCTGCACACTGGGGTCCTCTTCCCATGTGGGGCAGCTGTCATGTGCCCCACAGCCTTGTACCTGCGGCCCCACAACACTGTTTGTGCCCCACAGCCTGTGCCAGGAGCAGCTGCCAGCCACTGGGGTGCCCATCACGCGCCAGCGCTTCGACCAGATGCGCAGCATGTTTGACAGCTATGTGCGCTCCTCCACACTGCACAACTGGAAGTTCTGGATCGTATCCTTTGGGACAACATGGGCTTCTCACTGCCCCTTCCACTGTACACCAGGTCCACTCTCCCCTCCAGCTCCATGTGGGATCCCTCCTGCTTGAGAGGCTCTGTGGGCAACACCTGGAGGAGACATGCTCAGATACTTAGAAGAAACTCCTGTTACAAGAGAGCAACCAGAGTAGGAACAAATGGCCACTCCATGGGGAGCAGGGGAGTCACCAGAGATCTGAGCTTGGGATTGCCATGCAGGCATTTGCTCCCAATAACTTGTGTTGAGATGCAGCAGCCATCTGTTAGAGACTGGGAAAGGATCAGACACAAACCCAGGAAAATAATGGTTTCACCTAGGTGGCCACCATGGCTTACCCTGGAGAATGGGGATTAAGTTGGATACAAATCTTTGCATGTTGGAAGGATGGAGGGGAAAGGGAATGGTTGCCAAGGAGGTCAGAAGGCCGGGCCATCTTCTCCATGAAGGGGGATTATACACATTGTAGCCAAGTCTGAAAAGACCATGAGGTCTGCAAATTGCCTGGCGGTAGAGGCACCCGCAGAACATGCACAGACAGTAGCAAGCAGCCCCTGACACAGGTTTTGGGAGATAGGGTTCCTTCCACAGTACAGTGAGGGTACTGAAGAGGATTCCAGGATATGGGTATGGTGGAGGCACCTGCTGGGGATTACTGCACACACAGTCACCACCCCCCAGCATTGGGTGCACCCAAGGGAGCACAGGTGCTGGGTGCTGCACCCTGCTCTCAGGCACCTGCAGAGGGCATGGCAGGAGCTGGCTCTAGGCCTTGTTTAGAAGAGCTGTCCTGCATTGGGGCAGCCCTGGCTGCAACATGGGCTGTGCCTTGCAGCCTCTGGTTCCCCACACACTGTGGTTCCTTGCCTGCGAGCAACTGGTGGGGCTTTGAGGGCCGCTTCCTGGCTGCTGCCACCCTGGAGGCCACCGAGTTGCACAGGGCACCCAGCACAGCTGCACTGTAGGCAGGAGAGGGCTGTTCACACCAGACAGGGCACCACAGCCATCACGATGCTTATCTTTAACCACTTCAACAGTTCAGTGTCATCATCCGGCCCCTCTTCGAGTCCTTCAACGGCATGGTGTCCACGACCAGCATGGAGAGCCTCACGCAGACGTCCCTGGCCTGGCTAGAGCAGCACTGCTCCCTTCCGGCGCTTCGGCCCTGTACGTGGCTCCGTGCGGCCCCGCCGCTCCCGATGGAAGCCGGAGGCCCCGGCATAGGCACCGCTCGGTCCCTCGGCGCTGCTGCCACCGCTGCTGCTCATTTATGAGCTCGGTGCCCTGACTGCGGCGAGACCGGGGGCTGCCACCTGCCCCTGGCCGGGTCCTGACGTCCCCGCCTCTCCCCGCAGCCATCCTGAGCTCCCTGCGGCAGCTGAGCATCTCCACCTCCATCCTCAGCGATCCCGCCCGAGTTCCCGAGCAGGCGGCGCGGGCCGCGGCCAGAGGCGGCCCCTCCTAGCGCCCAGGGACCGGGCCGGGCAGCGCCGACGAGAGACAACGGAACAATTCGGGAGAGGGAGGGAGGAAGGGAGGGAAGTGCCACCGCAACACCACGCTGCACTCGCGGAAACCGGCCGCGTCCGCACCATAAAGCCCTCGGAAGTCCGCAACGCACCGCTCCTCCTTCCGGCCGCGTGGGGCCAGCGGGGCGGGGCCAGCAGAGGTGTGGGCGGGGCCAGGTGGGAGGGGCGCGATATGGAGGGGCGGAGCCGCGGCTCGGCGCACGCGCGCTGGGTGTCGCCGCCCGGCGGCGCTGAGGTGGCGGCGGGAAGATGGAGGCGGTGGCGCTGGGCGCGGGGCTGGGGCTGCTCCTCGCGCTGCTGCTGCTGGCGGCCGCCCTGCGCCGCACCGCCCCGCGGGGATCGCCCGCCGCCCCGCCGCTGGATGAGGGTGAGTACGATTACCGCTCCCTTTCCTCCTCCGTCCTGTGCCCCCCGCTGAGCCCCGCTCCCCGCAGGCGCCGGGGCGAACGGCCCCTCCGCCGCCAGGCCCGAGGGCCCCCGGAGGACGAAGCCGCCGGTTCGGGCACGCAAGGAGAAGCCGGGACAGCACAGCTTCACGCACCGCCTGCTGGCCGCCGCCCTCAAGGTACCGCGCCGCCCCGCCGGAGCCCCCCGCCCCCGCCCCGCCGCCCTTGACCGCCGCTTCCCCGCAGGGCCACAGCGGTTCCGTGAGCTGCCTGCACTTCAGCGGCGGCGGCAAGTACCTGGCGTCCTGCGCCGACGATCGCACCGTGCGGCTCTGGAGCACCCGCGACTTCACGGCGCGCGAGCACCGCTGCCTGCGGGCCAACGTGGAGCTGGACCACGCCGAGCTCGTCCGCTTCAGCCCCGACTGCAGGTGGGGCCGGGAACCCCGCCCGCCCCTCGCGGAAGTCCCGTGGGGGATCAGCAGCGCCGCCGATGCGGGACCCACCACGTTAACGCGGTGCTTGCCGCCCCGGTGCGAGGGCTGTGCGCGGGGAGCTGCGAGGGCCGCGGGCTGGGAAGGCTGCGTGGAAAGCTTTCCTGCGGGCTGGGAAGGCGCTGGTGAAGCGGCTCTGCAGAGTGGAAGGGATGTCGCTTTCAGGTGTTCCTTTCCATTCGGTGCCGCGGTTGAGCTAACGCAGGGAAAGCTCGGTGCCCTCATAAAACACAACTGATCTGTCACCTTTCCTCCAGGTGCCCCGAATGACTGATAACTCACCTGCCATAGCTAGGCTGACAGTGGCAACCTGCTGCTTAATGGCTCAGTTACCGTCCTTCCACTTAGGGCGATCATTGTCTGGCTGGCAAATGGAGAGACAATTCGTGTCTATAAAATGACGAAGAAGGACGACGGCAACTTCACCTTCATTGCTTCTTCTGAGGACTTCCCAAAGAAGCACAAAGCTCCTGTCATTAACATAGGAGTTGCAGAAACAGGTATGGCAATGGCGAGCTGCTCACCTGCCGCGGCCCTCCGGATCCACCTTGGTTTCCTTTTCGAGCAACAGCTGCTGGGTTGAAAATGTTAAGAGTTCTTGATTTACTCAAGGGCTGCTTGATTCTCTGTTTTTCTGGTTCTTATGTTTTAGCCTTTGCTTACTACTAAGTGAGTTGGAAGACATAATTGGAGGAGAGAAATTTCTGTGTAAGCTCAGAATTACCTGATTTGCACAGGTATTATTTTAGGCTTTTGGGAACGCTGCTGAAAAGAGATCTGGTCTCAGTACTGAGAGCATTGCTATTCTCTGGCTTGGCAGTCTTGCTTTAGCCAGTGAGAAATGTCTCCAGTGAGTTCCGGGATTCAGGAGCATACGATGTACCTTGGACTTCTGGTGTCTCCTAGAACAGAACCTGAGGAGGGCGAATGTTGATGGCAGAGGGCTTGGTGGATTCATGCTTCAGCTGTGTGACAGTGAACAGTTGGCAGTGGGTGGATGCATGTTCCACTCTGTAAGAGAAAAGCCCATAAAATTTTAAATGAGGTCTTTGGCTGCAAGAGTGAAAATTGAAACCCTGTAACAAGTAGCTTGAAGGTAAATTTGCAACTCAGTGTCCATGCTGAGACAAACAAGGGGAAGCACTGCAAGTGGAAACCAGCAAATACCCAAAATGCTGACACCACCAGTAATCAGGAACAAAAGTAGTGTGACTTCTAATCAGCTACGAGTCTACGATCCCTGACTTGAAAGCTTGAGATACCTCTTCTGGTTAAAATACAACTTGATCAAGTCTGCTACATTACCTGAGCATAGTACTGAGCTCGGCAAGTGGGATCTGAAAGATACTGGGCGGGAAGCTCAGGGGGTCTCTGGGTTGGCAGCTGTGAGCTGCTGAGTCCTGACTGAACACTAACGCGAACCCAGGAGGTGAGCCTGCTGCCACGGCTTTTCACTCTGTGCCAGGACAGAAGCACTGATGTTTTGGTGCTGCTTTTTGTTTTCTTGACAGCTCTGATGCAGACGGGTTGCTCTGCTCAGGACTGTTACAGCTGTTGGTGACTGTGGCAGCTTTAGGCCTAGGAACTCTCCTGATCTCTGCCTTTTTTCCCTCCCTGCTCTCCAGGAAAGTTTATCATGACAGCTTCCAGTGACACCACCATCCTGATCTGGAACCCGAAGGGTGAAGTCCTTGCCAGCATTAACACTAACCAGATGAACAATGCCTATGCTGCTGTGTCACCCTGTGGGAGGTGAGGAACATGCAGGTATTCCAGGCTGCTCCTGCTGAGTGGGAAGCCATGACAATAACCAGGAACCACTCTCCTTCTCAGAGGACATCATCAGTTCAGAACATCTGCAGTTTGCTGTCACTGTAATGCAATTTTCTGAGGGTTCCACATTTTTCTAATGATTCCTGCTCCCAGGAGGAGTCTCTCTGGGAGTGCTGACTCCCATCCGTGGTCTCAGACATTTGGTGCTTTGTTGGAGTGTCTCAGTACTGCTGCTCCTGCTGACCACCTTCTGAAGCACTGAGGAGAGCAAAGAACATTGGCAGTGATGGCAGAGCTGGGCCAGTGCAAACTGTTTGTGCAAAGCAAGTAATGTTCCTAGCAGTTGTTTTTAAATTTCTAAATATTAATAACAAAATTGGAATTTTTACAACCAAGAGGTTACTTATCAGGAAAACCTTGTTCTTGGCTCTGTCTCTAACCTGTTGCTGTAGCAGGACAGTTGTTATGCACCAGTTGCAGTGACTCTGTGGGTCAGAGAACTTAAGTTTCTTTATTTTTACTAAGGAGTTTCTCTTAAGGCTGTTAAGTTGTAGAGTTGCCTTGTCCCGTGGTGGCCTTCCATAGTGTTCCCTTTACCAGCCTGGTTTCAGTGAAAATTGGAAAACTCTTTTCCAGCAGACCAAAGCAAAGATTTGAATGTAGGTGTCTGGTTAGGACTGATTCACAGAGCACTTTCTCTGCAGCCCTCGAGAGGCAGGAGGAAGAGCTCTGCAGTGCTGTGGCTGAGAGCCGACCCTATGACCCAGCCACAGCAGTGCTCTGCAAGAGCCTGGCTCTGTTCTTTATTTTATTCAGGTTTGTAGCATCATGTGGCTTTACTCCTGATGTAAAGGTTTGGGAAGTGTGTTTTGGCAAGAGTGGAGACTTCCGGGAAGTGACCAGGGCTTTTGAGCTGAAAGGCCACACTGCTGGTGTATATTCCTTCTCCTTCTCTAATGACTCGAGGCGGTAAGCGTGCTATATCACTGTGTGAAGGAGTACCCTAAGGACACGTGTGCTCACCCCCTTCCTGTGTGCCTGAATTGCCCATCCATACTCAAACCTGTGCCCATTCCTGCCCCGGGGGCCTCCCTGGGTGTCCAGGGACTGCCTTGGTCCATCTTCATCCTCCCCATGGGTTTCCTCCTGTTGTTTGACCATCCTCTTTGCTCTGGGAGGGGGACAATGACCCCATGTGTACACACATTTCCAGACTCATGTTTTGCAAATCTCTGTCCACAAAGCAAAGGATTCCTGCTTTGCAGAAGTGAAAAGCGAACAAGTGTGACCCAACTTCCTCGCAGTCACCTACGGTTTATGTCCCGCCTTTAGGATGGCAACCGTTTCCAAGGACGGGACGTGGAAATTCTGGGACACAGACGTGGAATACAAGAAGCAGCAGGACCCGTACCTGCTGCTGACCGGGAGGTGCGAGGTGTCGGAGCCGTGCCGCATCGCGCTGTCCCCCGACGCTCGCGTGGTGGCCATCTCCTGCGGCACGACCATCGCCGTGTACAACACGCGCCGAGGGGAGGAGGAGGAGCGCTTTGTCGGCGTTCATGGACAGCACATAGCAGACTTGGCTTTTGACACCACCGGCCGCTTCCTGGTGTCCTGCGGCGACCGGGCCATCCGCGTGTTCCACAACACCCCCGGCTTCCGTGCCGTGGTGGAGGAGATGGAGACCATGCTGAGGAAAACCACCACCAAAGCCACCCGGGAGCGGCTGGAGCAGCAGATCGCCGGTGCCAGGAAAGCGCTGGCTGCCATCTGCGGCAGGAAGCAATAGCGGCTCCGTGCGGTAGCGGCGCGCTGGGTTTGACCGATAAAACAGCGAACAGATTGCAATAAAAGAGCGCTCACGGCTTTCCCTGCCTGCTTTCTGCCCCTGGCAGCACGGAGGGCGCACGCTCCTCTGGCGGAAGGAGGGGCGGGGAGGGAGGAGCCGGCACGGAACCGCTGAACGGGCCGAGGCTGCGAGGAGCGGCTCCGGCCCACGGCTGCCGGGGGCGGCGCGGAGCGGCGGTAGAGCCCTGCGGCAGCGCCAAGCCCCGCCCCGCACAAGATGGCGGACGCTGGCCCCACCTTCGCACCTCCTCCTCGCGCGCTTCGGGCGGGGCGTGCCGCGCAGGCGCAGTGCGCTCTCCGCGCGGCGGGCGCCCCTCCCCCGCCTCCCTCCCCCCGGGCGTGGCGTGCCGTGCGCCGTGACGCTGCGCGCAGCGCGTGGGCGGGGCGCGCGCATGCGCAGGGGACGGCGGCGGGTGCTGCGGAGCCGGGGCTGCCGGGGCTGCGGGCGCCATGTCGGGCCGCTCGGTGCGCGCCGAGACCCGCAGCCGCGCCAAGGATGACATCAAAAAAGTGATGGCGGCCATCGAGCGCGTCCGCAGATGGTGAGAGGCGGGGCACGGGGGGGTGGGGCCTGTCGGCCCGCAGCCAATCACCTCACCACCCGTCTGCCGGTGGAAGCGCTCCGGGAGCGGGCGCCCAATCAGAGCGCTGCATGCGGCGGCGGGCGGTGCTAGGGGGGCGGCGGCCAATCGGCTAGCGAGTGTGGGAGGGAAGCGGAAGGGCGGGTGACGGACATGCCGGTGGACCAATCACAAGGAGGGGCGGTGGCCGAGCGGCGGGGCGGGGCCGCGGTTTGGACGGGCGTTTCCCTGGGCCTATCAGAGCCGCCTGTGCTGCGGGCGGGGGCTGTGAGGTGTGGGCGGAGTCTGCCGCCGCGGTGCCGGGCGCGCTCTGATGCCGTGCCTGCAGGGAGAAGAAGTGGGTGACGGTGGGCGACACTTCGCTGCGGATCTTCAAGTGGGTGCCGGTGGCCGACAGCAAGGAGGTGGGTGCCGTGCTGACCTCACCCTGCTGCGCTCCGCGGCTGCTGCCGGAGAGCTGTGTCCCACCCGCCCCTAACGTCGCCTTTCTGCTTTCCTTCCTTTCCTCAAGAAAGAGAAATCCAAATCGAGTGGCGGCGTTGCTCGGGAGCCCAATGGTTTCCCCGCTGACTCGGCTGCCAACTCCTCGCTGCTCCTCGAGTTCCAAGGTGAGTGCAGCCCGCGGCAGTGCGGTGTGCAGGGACACGAGGTGCGCCCCTCTGATTTGCTCTGATTTGCTCAGACTGCCTCTGTGAGCCCACAGGCGGTGTGTGGCAGAGCTGAGCAGCACGCAGGCCGGTTGCTTGAGCTGAACATGGATATATACCTGTCCCAAGTCTCCCCGCTCAGCCTTCAGTGTGTCTGAGGAGCATCAGGCTATGCGTTAGCACTTCCAGTACATGCAGGGCTTAGGTCAGTCTTGCAGATCTGCAGTTTGGCCCCCACTTTACCAGGAAAACCAGAGCTGCCTTCTCTTCTGGGACAGAAGTTGAGTGTTGCTCTGGCATTAGATTGCTACATTGCACACAGAAGAGGCACAGAGCTCTGGTACCAAAGTAAGAGGCCTCATCCTTTTGAATGTCTGTGCAGTAGGGAGAGTCCACGGTGGCCTTGCACAAGCTGCAGGTGTGAGATCTGACAGAGCAGAGCTTTGTGTTGCCCCTGCACACTGCGTTTATTTTTCTGAATTGCTCATGGTCACTTCTCCTCTGCTCAGCCTCTGCATATCCCCAGGTAGAATCATGCACTGTCCTGTGCGTCAGCTGTATCCTAATGGGGAGTGCTGCGTTAGGAAGCTCTTGCTGCTGATCAGTGACTTTGTGAATCCTCTGTACCTTAAACACTGTGCTCTTCCTTTTCCATGAGATCCCGGCTCTCAGTGCTGCCCTTGGCTGCTTGTGCTGCTGGGTCAAGGTACTCTTCTTTACTAGGTGCTGTTTCTGCAGATGAGAACAGCAACCAGAGCTCCCTGTCAGACGTCTACCAGCTCAAGGTGGACAGCAGCCCTAACTCCAGCCCCAGTCCCCAGCAGAGTGAGTCCATGAGTCCTGCCCACACATCTGACTTCCGTACGGATGATTCACAGCCACCCACACTGGGGCAGGAGACTCTGGAAGGTGAGCTCCATGACATCTGGGCATGGCTGCTTAGCTGGGGAGAGGGAGGCGTCCAGCTGGACCAGGGAGCCCAGGGAGGGTGCTGCTGGGTCTAGGACAGAGCTGCTTCCTTTGTGCGGCTTGTGGGGCAGGAAGGCTGAGGCACCTCTGCCTGAGGGCTCAGCAGGCTGCACCTGAATCTGCGATATGTTAACTTTCTCTTCCTTCCAGAGCCCTCTCTGCCTTCCTCGGAAGTTGCTGATGAGCCTCCCACTCTTACAAAAGAAGAGCCGGTCCCCCTTGAGACTCAGGTAAGGAAGGGAGAATAGAAACCATGTCTAAATGCGTGTTCACCCATCTTAGTCCTTTCCCCTGGGCACCTTTCTTTGATTTCTCATTATAAGCAGAAACATCAAAAAGTCTGAAACTGCCCCCAGGAGCTCCCCAGACCTCCTGGCAGGTTGTGTTGTGGTTCAGTTCAGGTTTTAGGGCATACATTGTGTGCAGAAACTATGTGGAGGTGGATTAAAAAATTGGTTATAGTTGGCTCCAGGGCTGGAGTGGATTCTCTCTCTTGATGCCCAGGGGCTCATTTAGCAGCCTGACTCAGAGAGGAGAGCCCAGGCTGTCTCCACAGGGTGACACACAGCCTCGTCCAGCAGCTCCACGTGGCCTTGTAGGCGTGCTGAGCTCCTGTCACGGCTGGTGACCTCTGGCTCTTGCAGGTAACTGAAGAGGAGGAGGACTCTGGCGCACCGCCTCTGAAGAGATTTTGTGCCGATCAGAACTCTGTGTGCCACACAGCCTCGGAGAGCTAGCCTGCCCATCCCCGGGGAGAGCCTTTGCCAGACCCTCGCAGAGCTGCCTGCCCTTCCCTGGGGAATGGGGTGCTTCCCTGGCCTGCCCTTCCCAAGGGACAGGGCGCTCCTGCTGCCTCGCCATCCAGCCTGCCCTGCCCTCGGGGGCAGGAGCCTCCCACCAGCCCCTACAGAGGCAGCCTGCAAGTGATTTGCCCATTTGAATGGGGCTGCCACCAGTACCTGCAAATTTGCCTCTATTTATTGGCTCCCACTCTCCCTGCTGATCTGTGCTGTAGTGGCGTGGGGTCTCTGGTGCGTGGTCTGCATGCGCAGGGGGAGGGATCCTTGGGATGCCCCGCTCTCCATCACCCCTAACGCGCTGGCAGATGCTGTTTGCCTGCTTCTGGATCCACTGTCCACCCTGTCCCGCGTGCTGGGAACAGAAGAGCCATGTCCCATCTGCAGAAAGTGATGTGTCTTCTCCCTTATGACCGTAGTCTGGGGCGTTCCTGCTGTAGGTGCGAAGGGCAGAGGAGGGAAGGGGGAGCGCCCTGAGAATGAAGGCAGTGGCCCTCCGTGCCGCTGGGACACCGTGCAATAAGCTGCTACTAAGCCATTGGAAGAGAGAGGAGCGCTGCCATTTTGGAGGGCAGGTACTGAACACATCAGCCGTGCCTGCCGCTTCTCTGCCTCCAGGCCCTCACAGAAGCTTCTGCCCTCGCAGGACAGGCAGGGGCTGGAGTGATGTGGGGCTGGGAGGGAGCGGGGCTGCCGGCACTGCCGTGTCCCAGCTGGTCCTGCACCCTGCTCCTCCTGCCCACCGTGCTCCCCAGGTACGCCCTGTCCCCTCTGGACAGGACACAGGAGGGTGCAGGAACCCCTGGAGAGCCCTCCCGTGCCCCCATTCCCTGCTCCCCGCACCGGCACCCCGCTGGGCCCCCCCCGCTGCCACTGCATGTCCCGCCATCTGTGATCGAGCCTGGCGAAGCTGAAGGCGCGGCCGCGCGTGGAAGTGGAAAGATATTTTAGCACTGAATAGAATATTTTTAAAATTAAACTATTTGAAATACAGTGCTCAGTGACTGCAGGGTGCGCGGGCAACAGGTGCTGCTGGGGTAGGGGCTCGGGAGCAGATGGTGGGCAGCGCCAGGCTGAGCCAAGGAGAAGTGCCCTGCTCCCAGCCTGAGCTCAGTGCCAGCACTGCGGGCTGCTCCCGGCCAGGCCTGATGCTCCCCAGCGTGGTGTGGGCTGGGGCCTTGGGGCTTTGCCTTGTGCGGGGCTGGTGCTGTTACCCTGCTGGTGTGGTTGGGCTGGGAGTGGAGGCTGCAGGGCCTCACCGTGGGCAGCTGGGCTCCTCCAGACTGCATCCCTGTGAGCTGCCCTTAAATCCAGTGGTGTCACACACAGCCATAGTCCTGTAGCAAAATGTGCGGTGCTTGTGCTAAACGTGATGAGACAGAAATCTGACGTTATTCCATAGCTACAGCTGTGCCTGAGCATTCTGAGAAGCCAGGAGAGGCTGCTGCTCTGTCAGGTCACCCAGAGCAGCTCTGCATGCAGCCGAGATGTCGGAGCACAGCTGTGTGATGGCAGATGCACACAGAGCCGTCCAGACCCAAAGAGCTGCGCAGGGGGAGCCGCCCTGAGCACCCCTGCCTGTCTGCACACCCCAGGCCCTGGGTTTCCCACCTCAGCCTTACCTTATGCGAGAGGGTCCATTCAATTAGGTTAATTAACACAACATGTCCACAGGTATCTTTGCGGTAGTCTTTGGTTTGTCTTTGTGCATTGCAAAGAATGATTCTTATTTTCCAGTTTATTAAATTGAATGTATAAATCTAAGCCCAAGGTGTGCAGCTCCCTCTGTGTGACCATCACGTGGGGTTCATCACTTCTCCTTTCAGGCTCAGTATGGACAGATGGGGCAGCAGCTGTGGGTTAGAGAACAGCCATCTCGGAGTTATGGATAATGGGAAAATATTTGGGGGAGGGGAATGCAGAAGGGGTGCTGCTAGTTGAGGGAGGGGAGATAGAGGTTGGATGTCAGGGGGAAGTTCTTTACAGAGAGAGTGGTGAGGAACAGCTGCACAGAGGGGCTGTGGATGCCCCGTCCCTGGAGGTGTTCAAGGCCAGGTTGGATGGGGCCCTGTGCAGCCTGGGCTGGTATGAAATGTGGAGGTCGGTGGCCCTGCGTGTGGCAGGGGGTTGGAGATTCGTGATCCTTGAGGTCCCTTCCAGCCCTGGCCATTCTGTGATTCTGTGATTCGGCTTCAGACCGACATCCTGAGCGCCTGTGACAGAGCAGAGCAGCTGCCAGGCTGCGTAGTGCTAAGAATCGCACCATTTACTGCGTTGTTTTCCACGTCTCTGAATCCTGGTTTGCTGCAGGGGACCGAGCAGCCCATGATGACTGCAGGCCCAGGTAACATCTGGGGGAAACCTCCAATAATTTCAGTGCCAACTTCATTTCTGCCTTGCTTTGTAAATCTTCAGGAGTGACCAACTTCAGTCTCGTGTTCTCAGCAGCTCCAGAAAAGGGGCTTTTCCTCCAGCACAGCCACAGGCACCAGTGGTCACTGCATAGTAAAGGGCCTTCAACCTCCAATCATGGCTTGGAGCTCTCCGAGTGGGGTCGACAGGATGCTTTGAAGCACAACCAACTGAAATGAGATTTCCTGGGAGCCCATATTCCTCTAACCGAAGCCAATAGATTCAAAATTGCCCAGGAGCTTCCATCCCTCTTAATGAGAATTGCAAAATACTTTTGAAGCTGACTTTAAGATGCAACGTTTCTTCTTTTCCACCTTCAGTGCTAATAACATCTGTAACGATATCAGCAGCACTGCAGTACCTACTGAAACCTCTTCAGAGAGCAGCGAGATTTCATCAGAGATCAGCCTGAGGCTGAGAAAAGCCCTCTGAGTTCTGATGCCCAGTGAATGCAGTGCTCAGCAATGACTGGTTGCTGCTTCCCCTTTCTGAGGCTTTCATGCACTTCAGGTGTCAACTAAAAGTCACTCTGCATACCTAGTGTGGCTCACCCTTAGCCCTAATCCTTACTCTAAACCTGACTCCTATGCCTAATCCTAACCCTAAACCTCACCCCTAGCCCTAATCCTAACCCCTAACCCTAACCTCTAAACCTAACCCTCCCAATAACCCTAACCTGACCTCTAATTCCTACTCTAAATTAAATGCCTAAATCAACCCCTGAATCTAACCCTAACTATAACCCTAACCCCTAAACCTAACTCCTAATCCCTAACCTTAATTCTAACCCTAAATTCTAAAAACTAACCCTAACCACTAACCATAACCCTAATTCTAACATCAACCCAAACTCTAACCATTAACTCTAACCCCTAAAGCTAACCGTACCCATACCCTTACCCATCACCCTAAGCCCTAACCCTAACCCCTATCTCCAACTCTAATCCCTCACCTATTAATCCAAACCCAACCCCTAACTCCCTAACCCTAAAGCCTAACCCCTAACAACCAACTCTAACCCTAATCCTAACCCTAATGCATACCCCTAACCCTAACTCTTACCCCTAATCCAAACCTCTAACTCCTAACAATAACCCTAAGCCCCTGAACATAAATCTAGTAACCCTAATTCTAACCTGAACACTGATCACTAAAGGCTGACCTCAACCCTAACCCTAATAACACTAACCCTAATAATCCTAACCCTAACCCAAACCCTAACCACTAACCCCTAGCCCTTACCCTAACCCCATCTCCCAATCCTAACCCTGATAACCCTAACCCTGATCATTAACCCCTAACCTTAACCCTAGCTCTAATAACCCTAACCCTAATCATCCTAACACTAACCCCAACACTACCCTTAACCCCTAACTCCTAACCCTAACTCTGACCACAACCTCCAAGTTTCACCCCTAACTCTAACCCAGCCATTTTCCATTCCACTCTCTGGCCACACCACTTGAGCCCTGCTGACCTCACAGCTGTTTGCCATGGACCTAGCTTGGCACGCAGACACAACATGGCCATCTCGAGAAAGGAGTGAATGCTGAAAACAGAAGGGATTGGTGTGAAAACCCCAGTGAGCTGAGCTCTGTCACACACACAGTGTGTGAACCCCGTGCTAATTTCCACAGACTGAGCACAGTTTGATGTAGCTCAGGTTTATCCTGAAGACAACCAGCACTGGCTAGGAGATGGTTTGGAACCACAGAGGTGTTTTCTGGGTCTTCTGCACCTCTCCTGGTCCGCTCAGCACAGCACTGGCTGTGGCTGCATTCATCCAGAACTCAGGGAGAGCTGAACAAAGCGGTGCATAATGTGGAAGGACCGTTCAGTGCACCCCTAACGGGGATCCTGCCGCAGAAATGCAAACACTGATGAAGTGTAGGAAGGGTCTCAGAAGGAGGCTAGATGTGCCCATTCGTTGCCGGGTGACCACATAATAAAAATACACGGGAACATCTGAAGAGCGTGTGACCACGCAGAGCACCAGTGGCACTGGGAACGCATTGATATCCCGCTGCAACATCCCCCACAGGATTTAAACATTCCAATACAACCAGTTTGCCGGGCAGAACGCAACATTTTCCCCTCACTGCCACGCAGAGGCGGTGCTGTGGCGGGGGGGATCCATCCACTCACGCTCCCTTTCGGTCAAACGCGCTCTGCAGCTCCTGCTAGGGATGCACAGCATTTTCTAACAGCAGGTTTTTCTGCAACCAATCCCAAGGGAGACGCCCCCCTCAGGGTCGCTCCCAGCGGGTCAGATGAGCCCCTATTGGCACAGGCTGCTCCTGGCATGTTTTCCTCATCTTGCTTAACTGGTCGGACTCGAGATGAAAGTCCCCTTTCCCATTCACAACATCGTCGTTCAGCTTCTATAAAGGTGGCTGAGTTAGGAGAGACGCTGCTGCCACTGCTTCCCCGCCTTTTTCCAGGGAGGTTCCTTTAATTAGAGTGCTATTTATATATTAGGGCAGTTTTAGCTCTCCTGGGAGCTGAGCCGCGTGCAGCACGCGGAGCATCAGCGATTGTGAGAGAGATTCGGTTGAGTTTCTGAATCCGCTGCAATCCCAGAAGCCCAACCCCATTGCAGCAGAACTTCGGGCATCGCGGCACTTCGTTTTTTGCACTAAAGGAGTGGAGTGGCCGCGTTTTCTCCGTACTTCCACAACCCACCGATGCCGCACCCTGCCAGACACGCCAACGGCCTCAGCGCGGCTCTCCGCACCGTGGCAGCCGGTCCGAAGCCGCGGAGGCGGCGCGGTCCGCGTTGCCCGCAATGCCCGCAATCCCGCAATGCCCGCAGTGCCCGCAATCTCGCACCGCCCGCAATGCTCGGCTCCCCGCGTCCGCCAGAGGGCGCTGCCGCCGCCCCGCGTCCCAGGCGACGGAATGGCGGAGCCGCTGTGGAGCGCGGAGGCGGGCGGCGGGCTGTACCGCTCCCGGGACCCCGTGCGCAACCTGCGGCTGCGGTGAGCGCGCGGCCCGCCCGGCTCCGGCTCCGGGCCGCGCTCCGTCTCACGATCCCTCCCTCCTTCCCCGCAGGGTCGGCATCCAACGGGTGACGGCCGCCGGGCCCTTCCCGCCTCAGGCCGCGCCGTCCCCGAGCGGCGGCCCCGAGCTGCCGGAGCCGCGCCCCCGCACCGCGCACGGAGCTGCCGGGAGGCCCCCGGCCGAGGAGGAGCGGGCCGAGGTGGGCTGGCAGCAGAAGCTCTTCAGCCAGGTGGGTGCCCGTTGCGGGCCGTGCCGGCTCCCCGCGGCCGCCCTTCCCGGGCTGTGCGGCCCCTCGGGCCTCTTCCCGTCCCCTCGCTGCTTTTCTCTGATCGCGTTTCCAAAACCGCGCCCGGCCCCCGAACGTCTGTGTGACCGACGCCCCGTGTGTGCGGACAGAGCCTGTGCTGGCCTCCGTGAACCTCTGGGCTCTGCCTGTCTCCAAGAAATGGCTGGAATTGACTCCCCTGTGATGCTTTCAGTTTGAGGTGGATCTGTACCAGAATGAATCCGCCTGCCAGACTCCCCTGGACCGGCAGTACCACGAAGAGATCCTGAAGCTGGAGAAGGGCGGAGGTCGGAAGAACCGCCGCATCTTCACCTACACCGATCACGACCGATTCACCAACCTAGAGGAGGTACGGCTGGTAGCTCTGCAGAGTCCACACAGCAGCACCAGGCTCACCGCAGGGGGATGTTTGTTGTTTTGTGGCCGTGGCACAGTGTGCCAGGTATCCCGAGAGCAGGAGAACGTACTGCTTCTGCAGGGCAGCTTTGCTCGGTGTCCCAGACAGGATGAGGTCTTCACACTTCAGAGCGGTGGGCAGGGACAGCGTGGAGGCACTTGGCTCTGCAGAGTTGTGTTGTTACAGGAATTCTCAGCTGGCACGTCGCTGACCGAAGTGAGAATTCTGGACACTGATTGTAGTCACAGGGCACCAGATTCAGTTGGAACCCTGAGCAGACTTGCTTACAGGTTTTCTGCACTTTCAGATACATAGTTACATGTGGTTATCTCATCTCTAATTCATAATATTGCTGAGTGAAACCTAATAAAGCAGCTTTCGATTTATCACTGCAGTGACTCTTGGAGTCGGCCTCTTAGTTGTGATGCCAGACATTGGACACCACAGGCTGTCAAGGACATGTCAGAGGGTCTGGGATTCTAGGATCTTAGCTGTCTGCAAGTCTGCTTTGTTCATTGAAGTGGCAGAGCAGCAAGATCTTTATCCCACAAGTTGGGCTGTCTTTCTGGTCCTTGTGATCAGCAAGCATCTTTTAGTTTGCATGCTGTTTGAACTAGCAAAATCTAGTAAAATTCCACTTATAAACATAAAATGTAAACTACTATATATATATATGCACATACCAACAAAGTTAACAGATTTTCATGCTACAAAGACTGGTTGATAAAATAATGAGGGGAAGATCACAGTTATAGGTAATCTGCAGTCTTTAAGCAGCTTTTCCTTACACTTGCATGTATAAATACTTATTCTGACTTCCAGGGGCAGAGTTGCATTTGAGAGAAAAGTCCTGTTGTAATTAAGCTAGTTGTATTCTGTTTCTCTCTTCCAGCACTGCCAGAAGGTAACTGACTCAGACTGTGAGATGCCATCATATCTGGCAGAGAGGATGGCCAATGTGAGGAGGAGAAGACAGGACCGTAAGCCACTGTGAGTTCAGGCTCAGGCTCAGAACTTGAAGCAGGTTTCCCTGTGTCCCTCTGCAGGGCAGCCTGTTCTGTGCAGCTGTTGCCTTGAGCTGTGCTGGATTCAGAATCTGGCAGTTTGACTCCTCGTTGGGGGGGCTGTGCCAGGCTGCTGGCCTGAGCTCTGCTGAGCCAGAGTTGTGCTCTTCTGTTACTGACAGGGAAGCGAGTTCTCTCAAGTCAAAGATCATCACCTGGAAGCCCTCAGAAGAATTTATAAAGAACAATCATGTGATTAACACTCCTGTTCAGACTATGTACATCATGGGGGACTTGGGACCTTATGGGAAGTAAGTAAAATCCTGAAGTGATCCTAATTTCCCAGAAGCAAACCCATCTCCTTACTCAAATCTCCCACTTCTCTCTTTAGTTGAGGGAATTCCAAGTGCAACTCCAGCTTCCTTTTCTCTCTGGTGTTTATCTCACTGGGGGGTACTGAATGTGTCCCTCCAAAAGGTTTTTTAAACTAATGTAGGGAAGTATGGGTGTATTTGTGCCTTTCTGTGCCCCCATATCCCTTCACAGCTCTGCTGTTCCAGAGCAAGTAAGCGTGTGCTCTGTTGAGACTTCCTTTGTGCTTCTTGATATCTTCCATTAGGCTTGGTCAGAGGGAATACGAACATGTTCTTTGTACAATCAAGGTGGATGGCAATGGGGTGATCACAGTGAAGCCTGACTTTACTGGCAGCAGAGGAGCCTACTGGTGAGTGGGGCAGGGCTGGTGCTGCTCATGGGGCTGAAACTGCTGTCTCTTGATCAGCAGGGTGGCTCAGCGCTTAAATTGAAGCATATTATTGAGATTTGTTCCTAAGGCTGTCTAAGGCTGTTTCATTCTGGTGTCACTGTGCATGTGATGTGTTGGGCTCTGGAGCCGGGCCCTGGGGGTGCAGGCTGTGTGTGCACTGCACAAAACAGAGTCTCTTTTTGAGTCACTGATGCTGGCAGGCACTTAGCAGTGAGGAGAGAGCTGTTAGTGCCCGTGTGCAGCCACACAGGCCTTGCTGGAGGGATTGCTGCCTCAGGAGGCACAGCTGATGTTGGTGCTCGGGCTGTTTCTTGTGTAATGCGGTTTTTCTCCTTGTGGTTTGGGTTCTGCAGGATTGAGCTGGGCGGACAGAAGCGTGAGTTGTGGAAATACACCATTGAGAATGCTTCTGTGCAGGTGCAGCAGGAGGAGGAGGAGCGTGAGCAGCGTGTGCTCAGAGATGTAAGAACTGCTCTGCACTGACGACATTAACCAGTCCAGATTTGACAGAGGGATCTCAGCCTCTCACATAGCACGTAATCGTTAGTGCTGCAGACACCAAAGACTGGCAGAATGAATGTTGCTGGCGGTGAGTTTCACCGTGCCCAGTGATTTCAGAGCTCCAGAGTTCCCTCGCTGCTCTGTTTCTTACTCTGGGCAGATGGCTGTGTCCGTGTGCCGCTGCTCCTGGTTGTGTTGGCCACTGGCTGCAGCTGATGGATGTAGTCAGAGTTGATGCAAGAAACCACCCAAACTCACACCTTTCTAGAGGGCCCTGCCTAAGGTTTTCCTTTCCTTTGGAGCAGTGGGCAAACCCTTTCCTTCATCTTCCTCTTGCTGCTGTGTACTCATCAAATGATCTCTTGTTACCTCTAATGGCTTCAGCTGTTTGGATCTCACTTTGTGCCTTGTGTTTTAGTGTTAAATTTGTAAGCTTACCTGTTGTTTTTGTGGTCAGCAAGGGAATCCTAATTTACCTGCACTGATCTCCCATTGTGTTTTTTGAAATTTGCTGATTGTAGCTTCTTTTTGTGGTGGATTTGGGTTGGTGAGGTCTTTTCTGAAGCTGGTTTCATGTTATGCAGTTAGCATGTTTTATTTTGTTTGATTGTTACGTCTCTATATGTGCTGTAACAACAAAAAACCTGTTAGAAAAGTCCACGAACAGTTTAACTAGCTTTTAAGTTACGATTTTTTGCACTAAGTAATAACATATAACCCAAAATACCCTTTTTCTTATCCTGTTCTGTGTTTTCAGCTGTACAGTCGGCACAGGGAGTACCTCAGCAGCCTGGTAGGCTCAGAATTTGAGATGGTGAGTCCCAGCAGTGCTCAGCAGGGATGTGGTGCTCTCCTGGTCAGTGTGGCTGCCGGTTGTACCCCAGTCTCAAAGATGTCCTTGTTCCTGAGGTGCACAGGCAGCTTTTACTTTGTGGCCTCCTGCTGAAAATTGGGCAGAAAGGTACTGATTTCAAGGGATTTTGGGGCCTGCAGAGGTCACATGCATCCGTCAGGCTTGCAGCATACTGAGTACTGCATGCATTGCTGAAGACCTTAGACTGTAAAGATGGTTTATGTATTTGGGGTAGAGGTTGCTGTTAAATTCTTGAATGTCATATGCATCTGTGTATCAATTTGTTCATATAAACAGCTCTCCCCATCCCTCAAACTGATGCAGTTTCCTGCTCACTAAGTTATCTGGACTGCAATCTTTTTTAGCAAAAAAGTCTTGCTTGCCAAAGTGGCAACACTTGTGTAACACTGCAGAAGAAGCAGGACTGTGATTTTGTGGTTCCTGCAGTTGACTTCTCACTACATTTTACATCCATCTTGAAGTCTGTCAAAAGCTGATTTACAGAGCAGTGAACTCCTGCAGAATGGGAATTTAGTCTTTGGGGGGAGCCTCTGTCTGGGAAGAGCTGTCACTTCTGGGAGGGATGTCAGGACAACATGAGAAGTGATGACTCCTCCCTAACAAGCGAGCTGAAGCACTCGAGTACAAGTATTTGTGAAGTATCCACGCGAGACCTTGCAAGGAGGGACTGTGTGAAGTTCCACCAGTGGTCCCTGAGCCCTTTCTCTCCTTCACCTGCTTGTTCTTTCAGACACTTCCTGGCACACTGCGGCTTTTTGTGAATGGAGAAGTAGGTGAGTCTCACTGTGAGCTGTAACTGGGGGCAAATCTGCCTGCTGGGCAGCTGAAGCTGTGAAGGGTCCAGAGATTTCTGGTTCGTGTCCTGGTCCACAGTAGGTGTTTCTCTAGAAACCTTTGCTGTTTCCCTCTTTTCCCCTGCTCTTGCAGACAAATCTGTTGTGTGGCAGTTGCAGGTTAGGGGTTACAAATGCTGCAGCTGTGCTGTGCAGACATACAGACGTGAATAAAGGGCAGCGGTTTGGGCAATTAATAGACATGATTAAAAAGAGAGCAGTTAAGTATGTAACCTCCCTAGTCTCGTCAGTTTTATGGGGAAGGGCTAGACTTGAGAAAGAATAATCTCTGAGGGCCACATCTGTTACTTTAAGGACCCTGGCCTTTCCCAGCTTCCAGCAGTAACTTTTTCCCCAGTGCTTTGGGCTGCCTCTCTCAGATGTCTTCAGTGAATTCTGGAGGAGTTTATATGGAAAGTGAGTGGCTGAAATTCATTTTCTTTTCTCAGTTTCAGCTCAAGGCTATGAGTATGACAACCTTTATGTTCATTTCTTTCTGGAGCTGCCTAAACGTGAGTATTCGTGGTTCTAGCCATATCACAACGATGTAAGGAGTGAAGCATGCTTTGGCTTATCCATCAGATCAGCTTTGCTAAAAGTTGATAAAAGTTAATGTAGGGGCTGGGATCTAATCAGAGATCTTCAGAACTGAAGTGCAGAACTCAGTGGTTTGAAGGACACAGACATGCTGGGGAACATCAGCATCTTCCCTCTGTGTCCCTTCCAAATTGGGCTGGGTTTGATCCATGGGCTTTTCAGCCAGTGATGTTGCTGTCTGGCAAATTACTGCAGGTTCATTCCTGATGCTACAGAGAAGAGCCATCCTTTTTCTTTGTCTCAGCAATGGCCTTATCTGATTTCAGTGCCCACCACTGTGTGTTCACGTTTGGTGCTCTTTTGGCTGGTCACCTTCCCAGCACTAACGTGTACATCTTGCTTTCTTTTTAACCCCCCTGAAGCAATGGCCCTGGCTTCCCTCCGGTTATGCCCTGATGTTTGATACTGCCTGTGCTGATAGGTACCTTTAGATAAGGTGGTAGTCTCATGGTAAGGTGGAGTTGGTGTTGTCAGTTCCAGGGTGATCTGGGAGCAGTCATTGCCTGGAGCAAGATGGAGCAGAATACACATAAGGAAATTCAGTGTGGTGAACATCTGGGTCTGGCTTTGTCCTTCAGGCAGCTCTGGTACACAAGTCCTTCCTCCACCCAGAGCATTCACCACTGTGCTCATGTTCTCTCCTCCCAGACTGGTCAAGCCCCACATTTCAGCAGCTGTCAGGAGTGACTCAGACCTGTGCCACCAAGACAGTGGGCTGGGTAAGGACACTTTAAAACCTGCAGAGCAGAGTTGGAACAGACATTCTCTGAGGTGAAACGTGTAACGAGCTATGGATTTATCCTCACGACAGCTCCTTCCAAGAGCAGAGCATATGAGGAATCTGCCTCATTCTGGTGGTACTTGACATCTTACACGGTGTTGCTGTGTTCAAATTAAAATTCAGAGCAGTTTCTGTAAAAGCAGTTTCTCACTTTTTTCTTCCTGCTGTCTGATTGCTTTTGGATCTTTGATTTTTGTGTGCTTTAATGCTCAGAGTTAATGAAGCATTGTTCTGGCTTGCCTGGGAATGGAGTGCACAGAGTCTCTGAGCTGATTTCTCAGAATGTTTCCCTCCTCCTGTCTGGGTAGTTCAGTTGCTCCAGCTCTGCTCTCGGATGCAGCCACTTTTGAATGCTATCAACTTTCTGGTGTTGTTTATGTGCTCTAATTTGGATGCTATAATATTCATTGTCATGCAGTTCTTCAGTAGGAATGTTGTTTGAGGTGTTCTGTAAAGACCGAGGTGGTGTGTAGTAGCTATGCAAATAGCTGAATTGTCTTTTGAAGTGTGTTACTCTTTCTCCTTTTCCATTCTTTTTAGCAGCCTGTTCTATTAACATGGCAGTGAGAGTGCATGCAGGTCCTTTGGACGTCATTACTTCTGCCTTTTATCTTTTTCTCCCTGCAGTCTGTGCCCCTGCAGTACCACTGATGAACTCTCTTGACAAGGAATCTGACCTCTGTGCTGTTCCTTCCCCAGGATAACGTGGCATACTTCTGCTACCCCTTCACTTTGGAGATGTTTTTCACCCAAGAGGACGAATCAGAAGGTGTGTCTCCTTGTTTCTCTGTGATATGAAACTGACTTCTCTTGATTGCATTGTGCCACTCAGTATGTTGCTGCTCCCTTGCTAAGGAGAAAGGACAGGAGTAAACAAGGGAATTGGGGAGTCGTAGAACATTGCTGGTTGGAAGGGGCCCATAAGGATCACCAGCTCCAACCTCTGACTCCACACAGGACCACACGGAAGTCAAACCATCGTTCTAAAAGCGTTGTCCAAATTCTTCCTGAACTTTGGTGGTGCTGTGACCACTTCAGGGAAATGTTCATTCAGTGACATGCTCCCCATCACCACACAGCCTCTGCACGCATGCCATTTTAAGCCCTGCATTCTGCTTCTATGTATTCATTGACACTGCTTTGCTTCCAGCTTACAATCAGCTCCATCTGTGTGCAGAACGACGTGGATCTTAGTCTGTGTGTCTCAGAATGCCTGGTGTGTTGGTCTGCACTGCCGTTCTGTCGTACTGCACACAGGGGTGGCTTTCTGCAGTGGAGGAACCAGGCACATTTTTGTACATAGCTAAAGCTCTGTACTGAGTCTGATGTTTGTAGACACACTCAGTGACCTGTATAATCTTTGTACAGTCCTTGTCACCTGGAAATTTCCTGCTCTATTTTCAGCAGGGCTCCTCTGCTTCCTTTTCCTACTGCTTCGCTGCGTTGCTGCTGCTGCTCAGTCCTCACCAGCCCTGCTGCTCTTTGGTTTGCAGCCACTCTGGGCAGCTTTGCAGAATGTCTTGCCACTAGAATCTAACATATGCATCAAACCAACACTAACAAACTTCCTGCCTAGAATAAATATGATGGGTTTGTTTCACCGTGGAGAAAATAAACGCTTGGAGGCCTGTAAGACAATCCCAGTTAATAGTCCAAGATAATAGTTCCCAGCAGTGATGAGAAAGATCAGAAATAAAAAGGCTCCTCGTTTTTTCATCAGTTGTTTGTGAATATTGTCATAACTGCCCAAAGACAACTTGAGAAATCAGTTTGATGGTTCTCGGAGACTCAACAAAACAAAGATTTTTTCCCAATTTTTTTATCATTTTAGCAATGTGTTTTCATCCTCAAGTCTGAGGGTTCATCTTTTACATGAAAAAATAATCATGGATCCATCAAGGTTTGTCATTTTGGGGGAAGTAGAGAAAGGACTCCTTGGTGATGGAGTTTAAGCGTTCAGGAATGTTTTGTCTCTCTGATAGTCTCCCTCTTCACCATTCAAAAATTGTAATCTGCACCCTTTCCTTGCAGACTGTCTCCCTCAGTGGCCCGTTCTCTACTTTGAGGTTCTGTCCCTGGATTTCTGGCAGAGGTGTCGTGTTGAAGGATATGGTTCTTTGGTGCTGCCAGCATCTCCAGGTAAAAAAAGCAGGCGTCTTTGGGGCAGCATGTTAGGTGTGTAGGGAAATGGGAGTTCAGTGGCTCTCAGGAACAGCTGCGCCGAGTTCTGGGAGGCTTTGCATTTTGAAGTGAACAGCTTGCTGTCTGCGAAGCAGCAGAGAGTGCTGTGATGTGTCCTGTACCTTCTGCCATGTTGAGAAGCATTGTGTTCTGCTGTACTTGCTCTACCAGTGGTTCTGTTGGAGAACTGTGTGTGATAAAGCTCTGCATGTCCATCTTCACAATAGCAGTAGCCCCTCCTGTCCCACGTGAAATCCCAGGCTCACAACTAGTCTGACATCATCACGTAGTGAAGGGGATAGTTGCAGTGCTGGCTGGGGCTTGCTCATTGGAAAGCCCTGGGAATCAGTAGGCATTCATCAGCAGGTATCCATACACCATGATGTCCTCCATGATTGTTGGTCAATACTGCTAAATTGTCCCGTTCTTTTGTCTCAGGTCTCCACATGCTCACCATCCCTACCTGGCGCCCTGTAGAGCTGGGTGCAGTTGCTGAGATGAGGAGATTTTTCATTGGTGGGTCTCCTGAGCTGGAAGACATGACCTACGCCAGGATACCAATAGCCTTCAAGGTAGGTTTAGGTATGGGATGTTGCTCTTGCTGGGAAATGGTGGGTTATGCTCTTGGAATCATAGAATCATAGATTATCCCAAGTTGGAAGGGGTCCAAAGGATTAAGTCCAGCTCTGGGCTCTACACAGGACAACACACAGCTGAAGTGCATGTCCTGTGTCCAGACACTTCTCCAACTCGTAGAATCATAGGATAACAGAATCACAGAATGGCCTGGGTTCAAAAGGACCACAGTGCTCATCCAGTTCCAACCCCCTGCTCTGTGCAGGTCGCCAACCCTCAGCCCAGGCTGCCCAGAGCCATTGAATGCCTGCAGGGATGGGGCATCCACAGCCTCCTTGGGCAGCCTGTTCCAGTGCCTCACCACCCTCTGGGTGAAAGACTTCCCCCTAATATCCAATGTAAACCTCCCCTGTCTCAGTTTAAGGCCATTCTCCCTTTTCCTATCACCATCCACCCTCACAAACAGCCGTCCCCCTTCCTGTTTATGTGCTCCCATCTCCAGCAGCTCCAACTTCAGCAGCATGTTCCGTGCCCAGCAAGCCTCTTAGGGAAGACTCCTCACCATCTTTGTTGTCCTCCTTTGGAATCTCTTTAATAGGTTGATGTCTTTCTCCTGTTGTGGCACCCAAGCCAAACACAGTGCTCAAGGTTGAGCCCTTCCCCCAGCACTGCACTGTCACCTTCCCAGGGGTTCTGCCCTCAGCACAGCCTGAAACTGTCTGCCTGTTTCTCTGACGTCAGTTTCTGTTTGAAGCAGGGCAAGGAGTGATTCTGTGCCTGCAGGAGTGCTTGTCCTGGTGGGGCACACTTATTTCTGCGGGGTCAGCCTGCTGTAATAGGTTACAGGCTGTAGGTACTCGAACTTGTTCTGTTTCTGCAGGGAAAGCATCTGAGCCGCTTTGGTTTTCGCACAGAGACAACAGGGAATGTCACGTTCCGGCTTTACTGCCTGCAGCAGTCCAAGTGAGTGCAGCACCATGAGCACAAGCTCTGTCTCGTGTGCTGTGTTCTTGCAGCCCTGACCTCGAGCTGTACTTTTATGCAGAGCCTTTCTGGAATCCAATGCCTTGAGGCATCGCATGCAGAGTGTTCTGGACCGGCTTGGAGGCTTCAGCCAGCAGAGCTCTGTCTACAATGTTTTGGGTAGGGCCTTCAGTCTTCCTTTTTGTGGAGGGCCTTTGGCCCTCTTTACCTCCTTTTTTACGGGGTGGTCAGGATATTTCAGGAGATTCCATTGCTGGCAGTGGAATTATCCCCCACTGCAAACTCTCTCTGAGTTACAGCCGAAGTTTAATGTTCTGATCTGACATCGCTGGAAATTTGAGGAGGTGTCAGCGCTGAGCAGGCAGGAGGGATACTCACTCCAAGAGGGCAAAGCCTGGGCTGGGCTGCCTGGTCTGGCACCGAACACAGCTTGTGGCTGCGGTGCACGGGGTCGATCCCTGGTCCATTGTGCACACAGCAAAGACAGCGCTTGGAAGTTAAGAGAGCAGCAGCAGGCAGGTGGTACTTAGCGAGACTTAGCGAGACTCCCGATAGCTGCTGTGCACTGGGCAGAGTTGTCCTTCTGCTTCCCTATGGCTGTCTGATGCATTCTGACTTGCTGTCATTTGCTGTGGTGCAGAGGCTTTCCAGCGGGCTCGGCGTCGGATGCAGGAGGCCCGTGAGAGCCTCCCCCAGGACCTCATCAGCACCTCTGCCTCCAGCGTGCAGCGGCCGCAGGAACCCAGACTGACAGACAGACAAACTGACAGCCTCTGCTCCATGGCTGGGCAGCCCACACCTCTCTGACGGACCTCCCAGCGCCCTGCCCTGAAGGTCTTTGCAGCCCTTCCTTTGCAGCTCTCTGGACGTGGGCAGCGGTCTGTAGCCCATCTGTTCTGAGAGTCGTTGTGTTTCCACAGGTATGCTGTTGTTTCGAGGCATTTTGTTACCAGGCCCTAATGATAGAGCCAGTTGTTCATGTTTCTGCTGAACAGACTGAAATACTTACATGAGACCTGTGAGCTTTTTGAATACTGAATTGTAAATGATCAGAAGAATTTCAAATCTACTTGACTTGATAGATTTACTTCTTAAAGAAGAGAGTGATGTTGAAGGTCATACGAATGTTGTTTGAGATTTAATTAAATGAGTAGTTAACTTAATGATAGAACATCTGTAGCTCTAGGTCAGTTTTCAGTAAAATCTGACCACCTGTGATTTAAGACTGGTTCGTTCCTTGAGAAAGAGAGGGTCCTCATCACATGGAAACCAAAGCAAGGAAGTTACGTGTGACGGAGTCCAGACTGGAGGAAAGGGTTACGTTCTGTATTTCTTTGTGTCTGTGGAATTTCTGGCTCTTCTATCTGCAAAGATGAGCAGAAGGACTTTGGGAATACAGCTGAAAACATACTCTTTTTAGTTCGTAGAAGAGCTGGGTTGGATGTTTTGCAGATGAGAACGGATTGTAATGTTTGCACAGCAGCTGAACTTTGAACTGTTAAGCTCTTCATCTGAGCTGTGGCTCATTGCTCCAGCTCTGCAATACACTGCAATGTTTACCCAGTTTTTACCCATTTTCTTCTTCTTTTCTCAACCTTTTTTATTCCCCTATTTTTGTTCCTGGCTCGTGTTCACAGGAGTGAGATTACCTGCAGACCAACAGTGATAGGAAGAAAAATCTCAGGCTGAGCTCACGCAGGGCTGAGTACATCTGAAAAGACAGAATTCACAGGCAGGACACAAATAGGAACTGGTTTCTTCCGCTTGTTCCCATGTTCCTCCCTAGCAGGGGATGGCTGTCGAGGAGGAGGTGCAGCACATGGGCTTGGGGTTGAGGGGTGAACTTGACCATGGATGCTGCCACAAAAGAGGACTTTGCTTGCCTACCTCACCTGCTACCCCTCCTTTTCAGCAGAAGAGCTGCCAGCCTGGATGAGGAAGCACGGCCTGTTAGCACAGCAGTGTTCTTGGCCCGGCGCTGGGTGATGTCTCGTGAATGAGTCAGCTCTCCAGTCGTGCTGGGCGATGTGATGTGGCAGATAAGGCATGATGGATATGAATGCCGAGCTCTGGAGTAGCAGAACTGAGCCTTCTGTGGTCCCTGGGGATGCAGTACAATCCAAAGGGACTGACCTACGCTGTGCCTGGGATGAGGGGTGCTCATGGCACAGAGCTGCTCAATCTGCTCAGCCTTCTACCTGGGTTTCATGGCTCGTGTTGTAGCCCTGTATGTTTATTGCCAGTGCACAAACAATAATTAATTTCTGTTGGACTACTTCCGTGTGCTTATCACTGGCAGCTGAATCACATCTCTCTGAAGCACTGCACGGGGTCTGAATCAGCAGGTCTGAGAATGTCCATTTTGTTGGGATGGCACGGAGTGCAGAGGACAGAGCCCTCTGACAGCGCGTGTTGCTGCTGGGCTGAACAGTAAGATTATGCAGCTGCAGTGAAGTGCGCACAGTAATACAAGTTTTGATAGTTAAAACCCTGATCTTACAGAAACGTGAGAGCAAAATTGAAACATAAAAACCAGCAATAACCAAAGAGGCATTCTTTCAAAGCAGGACATGGGTGATTCCCACCCCGCTGCTCACAGCCTCAGCCGGGCACAGCGAAGTGCTGCTGCTCCTAAGGATGTTTTAGGGAAAGCCTTCAGCGAGTGCTCTTTGAATTTCCCCTTTTGCAGATGAAATTACAGCATTTCCAAATGTGGGCACACATAGGAAAATGTCACCCATCTTCTAATCAGAACGGGCAGCTGGTGCAGGGCTGCGTTCAGGGCTCACACAGACGCCCGGCCGGGGGAACGGGGTCGCGTGTCTGCCGGGTACCACAGATCACAGTGGCAGATGGGGACAGACAGCATGGGGGGCCACCGATGTTCCCTGAGGAGGAGCGTCCCTGGGTTCTGCACGGGGGGGGCACCTCTGTGGCCGCGCGGACTTGAAAGCAACGGGAGGGAAGAGAGCTTTGGCGGGGAGGGGTTACCGGGGGTAACTGCCTGGGGGCAGCTGGGGAAGCCGGGGTGCTGCGAGCTGGGGGCGGAGGCAGGGGAGCGACCCCCGGTCCTGCAGCACGGAGCTGCTTTCCGAGCATCGCCTGCTGCTGCTGCTGCAGAGCAGCGGGGGCTGCGGTATCGGCCGCGGTGTCGGCGGAGCTGCGGCTGCCCCGCGGGCCTCCGTGGGAGGCTGCGTCCTGCGGCGCTCCTGCTGATGCGCTGTGGTCCGTGCGGGGCTGAAGGCGCTCGGAGCCCCGCGGGCCGCTCCGTAAATAGACGTCGCAAACAAAAGGCGAGGGCAGAGACTTCGCCTCGGCGGAAGAAAAGGCTGCGGGCAGTCGGCAGGGCTCGCAGGATGCGAAGCGGCAGCCTCCGGAGATCCCGGCGCGAACGGAACAGAAAAGGAAAAAACTGGAAATGAGTCATTCGGTGACGGGGGGACGGCTTCGCACCGCCGTCAGACCCCGGCAGTGGATTTTACTCAACAGAGGAAGACGCGGGGTGCGATAACCTCAAACCGCGCCGCGCCAGCGGAGCTCCCGCGTACCCCCGGCCCCGCGTTTTGTGCGGCGGGTGGCGCTGCGGGCTCTGCGGTGCTGCTGCTCCGGGCGGGGAGGGGCGCGGAGATGGGGGTCCGGAGTGGGTCAGTGCGGTGCGTGGGGACGGAGAGCCCCGGTCGCGGCCGCGCGGTGGCTGTCGGCTCCGCGCCGGGGCGAACAGCGCCGGCTCTGCCTGCCGCTCCCGCCGCCGGTGATGCTCGTTGTCTCTTCGAGGCACCGCCTGCGTTCTGGGAAGCCGAACCCAACGCTTCAGCGCGCGTCAGAGCGCAGCTGACCGGAGAGACGGCGCGCTGCATCGGATCGGCCAAAAAATAAATGGCTGTGGACTCCTTCTGCATCGGAATTACGCGGGTCTTTGAGCCCTCCCACCTGGCGCAGCTCCGTGCTAAAGCAGACGGGGCTGACGCAGTCACAGACTGTGATTAATTCACAACGTCTTAAATGTTGAAAAAAAAAAAAACACAACTGACTTTCAAAATGGTTGTGAGGTTCTGCAGTGTGAGAGGAATTCCTGTTTGGGTGTTCCGGGTGGGTTCTTGCTGAGCTGCGGGAACGAGGATCGTGGGAAGGTGCGTTTCCCACCGTGTGTCCTGACCCTGGGGAGGCATCCAGATGTACTCCCGCGCGTCGGCTCAGTTAAGATCACCCCAACATTGGCCCGAGAGCCGTTTGTTCAACTGGTCTTGAAACGAAGATGGAGACCACAGATCGTGCCTTCCAGATGTTTTGTTGGCAAGGGGCACAGCTCTGCCCTTTTGCTCACATCACACAGACACCCTCCTGGACGCCCAGGAGCTTTTCTCATCCCTTGCAGCCCTCAGCGTCGCTTTTTCCCCCCACACGCCCTCCCCCACGTTGCTCACGGTGCCCGGCCGCCCCGCGGTGCCACGGGCGGAGGGCGGCAGCGCGCCGCCCGTCTCTCGGCACGGTGGGTGCCGGGCGCTGCCCTCCCCGTACGCTCCGTTCCTCGACATGCGGCCGCTGCGCCTCGGAGGGCGGCGGTCCCGTTCTGGGGAAGGTCGGGGGAACAGCGCTGCGCAACGATGGGTTCTGCGGGTCTGGGCCCCGAGAAGGGGGGAGATACTGACGTGAGGATCTGAGAGCGGAAGGATGGAGCACAGCCCCGCCGGGAGGGACGCGGGGTACCGGCGGGTGCGCCCGGCGCAGCGCGGCCAGCAGGGCGGGCAGGGACGCGCCACTCGTCTGCCAGCGCTCACGGGGAGCGCTCAGCGCAGGAGAGACGCGGAGATGTCGGAGCGAACAGAAACGCTCCCGGGAACGGGGCCCCCCGTGCGGGGCCGCGCCGAGAGCCGCGGCTGGGAGAAGACAAAAGATCACCGCGGGGGAAGGGAGGGGAGGGGGGACGGCGGTGGCTCCGCAGCCGCGTTACGGGCAGAGCTGCGAGGGCGGCGGCACCGGGGGCGGATTCTCCTCCCGCACCGCCCCGCGCCCCCCCGCGTGCCGCCCCCACCACGTGACCCCCCCGCCGCTCCCAGAGGTCCGCGGGGCCGTTCCGCGCCGCTCCGCCGTTCTGCGCGCATGTGCCGCGCCCGCACTCCCCCCGCGCGGCCGTTCGGAGCGGGGAACGATGAAGGACCGCACCGGGGAGCTGCGCGCCGTGAGTGCGGGGCGGGGGATGCGGGGCGCTCCCGGATGAGGAGATGGGGGGCTGCTCATCGCCGCGTTCGTCCCTCGGTCGGCGCCGGTCCCCGCCGGTCTCCGCGGCCACGGCGGCGGTGCGGGGTCGGGTCGGGTCTTTTCGCGGCCCCCGCGCCCATTTTGCATTTCTGTTCTCCTCGCTCCGCTGATGTCGCGCTGCAGCCCCGCGGCGCGGAGCCGTGCGGGTCCCCGTGCGGGTGTGCGTCCCCGCTGGGAAATGGCTGGTCGGTAACGACAGAGCTGATGCGTGCGGCTGTCCTCCCGGCGGGGCCCGCGTCTACGCCTGCCCGGAGCGGCGCTGGCGGTGCGTGGGGCGTTTGAGCATCTCTCGGTTCCTCTACGTGTTGGGCATGAGGGGGAAAAAAAAAAAAAAAACAAAACGAAAAAGCGAAAAAAAACCGAAAGAATCTCAGAAGAGATTTCGCCTCTCTCCTGCGGGAGATCCCCGCTCCGTGGCAGCACTGCGTGCCCGCAGGGCTGGTGCGGGGCCGCTGCTGTGCCGCCACACGGTATCGGGGACGGCGGTTCAGCTGTTCCTGTATAGCGCAGGTTACGGTGCGCGGGGATGGGGTGGGATGGGGGAGCCTGGATGAGATGAGGTGGGGTGGGGTGGGACGGAGGAGCCCGGCTGCTCCGTGCCCCTTTGGGCGGCTGTACGCTGCGCTGCGTGCGGTCGGAAACGCGCGGCTGCAGGGCTGCAGGCAGCACTTCGTGCGGCCACCAGCGGTACTGGTGTCTGTAGGTCTTCGGTGACTGTTGATTGTTGGCTTCCAGTGGGGCTGGGAAAGGCCCACCCCGATGGGCTGTCGGGCTGTGCCTCCCGCGAAGCGCTGCGCGGTGCGGTGCTGGAGCAGGGCAGCGTTGGGTGCTGCTGGGCGGGCTCAGCGCCTGTCCCTGCTGGGCTGTGCTGCGGGGAACACTGCAGACATGCTCTCCTGCGGGCACAGTGGTTAAGTTGACCAAAGTTGCTTTTTGTAACAGAGCCCTGTGCCCCTGTTCTCCATGTGAGCATCTTTGTGGTCCACGGCGCCAACTCTTGGTATGCAGAAGGCACCATTAACCCGGGCAATAGATCGATTTACTCTTTTCACTGCAGGATTCCTTTCGTTTTATAACTCTCCTGGCGATGTACCGTGCTTTCACGCTGTCCTCTCCAACCTGAAGGGCTGTGTTAGTTGTTCAGCCCTGCTCCTGCTGCCTGCGTGGGCACCAGGACTGTTGTATGGGAGCAAGATGGTGGGGGGGCAGTGGGGGAACAGCTGTGCTCTGCAGGCAGCACGCTGCTCAGCGAGGTGTCACTGCATGGCCACGCTGCGTCCCCGCTGAGCTGCTGTGCTGGGGGGCTGCGGCACACCGTGTCCCCTGGTGTGCAGTGGAGGCTCAGCCCGGCCCTTGCTTCAATTGTGAGCGTCTTTGCCTTTGTGCGAGCTGCTCGGAAGCTGTACAAATGTTTGTTTTGCCGTGTATCTCCCCGCTAACAAGATTGCTCAGGAAATATGCAAAATGATCACTACAGGCAGAATACGTACAGTAAGGCTCATTAAGCTAAGCACTGTGATAAATTGCTACTTCCAGAAAATTATGTGTGTTAACAAAAAGGAGGAGGGAAGCGCCAGCGCCGGCCCTGGCAGCTGCAGTGGGCACAGACAGCCATGGGGTCAGCGTCAGAGCAAAGCCACAGAGAGCAGACAGCAAACGGAGCGGTGCGGCTCAGGAAACAGAAACAAAGCCATGTGCTGTAAATAACAGCCCAGGCATTGGGCCAAGGAGAGCGTTGGTACAGAAACATGGCGAGAGCCATCTCTGGAGCAGGAGGGATGGAAGGACTGCAGAGCCACTGTGGGGAGGGCAGCTGTTCAAGGTGGAGCAGAGCTCGCAGAGTGGCTGAGGTTGGTGGAGATCTGTGTGTCGTGGAGTCACAGTACGGTTGGGTTGGAAGGGGCTTCACTGCCCAACAACCCCCCCTGCCAGTCCCCTCGCCATGGGCTTGGTACCCCCAGCTCACGCTGCCCAGAGCCCATCCATGGCCTGGGGCACCTCCTGGGATGGGGCAGCCACAGCTCTGGGCAGCAATGCAGCACCTCACTGCCCTCAGTGAAGAATTTCTTCCTCACATCTAACCTAAATCTCTTCTCTTTTAATATGAAATCTCTTGTCATATAACTACTCAGCTGTCCTGTATGCCCTGTTAGGTGCTGGAAGGCCGCAGTGAGCTCTCCTCTCTTCTGCAGGCAGAACACCCCCAGCTCCTCGGCCCGGCTCCACAGCAGAGGTGCCCCAGCCCTCTGAGCACCTCGTGCCCTCCTCTGGACCCGCTCCAACAGCCCCACGTCTTTCTCGTGCTGGGGGCCCCGGGCCTGGACGCAGGACTCCAGGTGGGGCCTCACGAGGGCAGAGCAGAGGGGGACAGTCCCCTCCCTGCCCGCTGCCACCCCTCTGCCGATGCAGCCCAGGCTGCTGGCGGCTCTGCGGGCTGCACGCTGCTGGCTCAGGTCAGCTTTCCCTGCTCCAGAACCCCAAGTCCTTTCTGCAGGGCTGCTCTCAAGGAGTTCTTCCCCCCTTCTGAACACAGACCTGCCATTGCCCCTACCCCAGGGCAGCACCGTGCACTTGGCCTTGTCAAACCTCACATGGTTAATGGGGGCCCACTTCTCAATGTTGGTTGGCCCATGCAGGGACACCCACAGTGGGTGCCCAAGCACACGTGCAGGCAGCTTTTGACCACCTCAACAGAGGAGACTCCAAACCTCTCAGGTTCCTCTGCCCACACAGCTCCCTGATGGTGTGGGGAACCTCCTGGGCTGCATTTTGCTCCCATCCTGACACTGGCAGTTTCCCATCCTACAGCGCTTCTGCTGCAATGTCTGTTACAAATTCTTTAGCATTAAGCCTTCCTTTTGTCTTCCGTTGCTTTCAGATCTTCCAGTGGGACCTGTCAGACGTGCAGCATGCGATGCACAAAACAAATGTTCATTTTGCCAGGAGACATTTCAGCTCTGCCTTCTGGGAGGGCTGATGTCTCTTGTGGAGGGTGCTGCTTCCTTTGCAATCTAGATGGGAGCACCCAAGAAATTTCATCACTGTGTTTATAGCCAGCAAAGTCTGATGGGAGGGATGCGGGTGTTGCAAGCTGCATTGATTTTCATGTCTTTCCCAGAGAAGTGAGTTGTGGGAGAAGGGGGGAGGAGGGGGAAGCTTTCAATTCCTCAGAGTAAATCTGGGTTCATAGAATCATAGAATGGCCTGGGTTGAGAAGGACCACAATGATCATCTCGTTCCAACCCCCTGCTGTGTGCAGGTCACCAACCAGCAGCCCAGGCTGCCCAGAGCCACATCCAGCCTGGCCTGAATGCCTGCAGGGGTGTGTTTGAGAGAGGATGAGCAGGGAGGGTCCCTTGGTGGAGGCATGTGGGGCAGAGCTGCTCTGAGCTGCAGCCCTGCCTGAGCCCTGCCTACACAGAGGGACGGAGAGCACCTTCATGCCATGCTGAGCCCCTGCTCTGAGCTGTTTGTACCCATAGCGTGTCATTGAGGAATCCTTGAAGGCTTTGTGGTATCATGGATGCACCTCAGCAGCCGGGTGGGATGGAGCGTGTCTCCTTCCAGAAGGGCTCTTAGGAGTTGGCCAGAGCTCTGACAGAGCTGTCAGGCTTCATGCCAGAGGTTGGTAACATAATTCTGCCGTGATGAAAATAAACACCTAAGGACAAAACTCTTGGAAATCTTGTTCTCCATTGTGCTGCTGGTGTTGGAAATTGGAAACACATGATGACTCATGCGGGAGTGATAGTCGGTTTTGCCTTCAACTTTTATTCATTGAACGTTGCTGGTCCAAAATGCAAGCTGGTTGCAGTAACGCTGGAATTGGACACAACAGAAAGGTCCTGTGGGAGCTGCCTGGTGTGGGTGCCAACCTGCTCTCCATCACATTTGAAATATCGTGACTGTCAGGCTGAAGTTCCTGAGGACTGGAAAAAGGGAAACATTGCTGCCGTATTCCCATATGGGGAACTGCAGGCCTGTGAGCCTCAGCTCTGTGCCTGGCAAGACCGCGGAGGAGACCTTAAGGCAGAGGGGAGACGAGGTGACCGCAGGCAGCTGGCACAGCCTCAGCAAGGGCAGAGCACGGCTGGCCCTCCTGGTGGCCTTCAGTGATGGAGCGATGACCTTGGTGGGCAAAGGGAGGGCGGCCGATGTCACCTACCTGGACTTGTGCAAAGCCTTTGACGTGGTGTCCTTGGAGGTGTTCAAGGCCAGGTTGATGGGGCCCTGGGCAGCCTGGCTTAGCACTAAACGTGGAGGTTGGTGGCCCTGCATGTGGCAGGGGGGTTGGAGATTCGTGATCCTTGAGGTCCCTTCCAACCCTGGCCATTCTGTGATTCTGTGGTGCCCCACCACATCCTTATCTCCAAGTTGGAGAGATCCGGGTCTGAGGGGCGGGATGTTTGGTGGGTAAGGAATTGGCTGGAAGGTCACAGCTGGAGGGCTGTGGTCAATGACTGCGCCAGGTGGAGGCAGGGATGAGCGCTGTCCCCCAGGCTGCTCTGTGGGACCCATACTCTTCAACAGCGTTATGAGGGACGTGGATGATGGGATTCAGTGCACCCTCAGACACCGAGCCGAGCGGTGCAGCGGATGCAGCAGAAGGAAGGGACGGCATCCAGATGGACATGGACAGCAGGCCATGGGAAGCACCTGAGGCTCAACAATTTTCAACAATCAATCAGACGTGAGGGGAAATTCTTCACTCAGAGGGCAGTGAGGCGCTGCGCTGCTGCCCAGAGCTGTGGGTGCCCCATCCCTGGAGGTGCCCCAGGCCATGATGGGCCCTGGGCAGCCCGAGCTGGGGACACCCGGCCCATGCAGGGATGGGGCTGGATGGTCTTTAGGGTCCGCTCCAACCTGAGCCTTTGTGTGATAAATAAATGATGGTCTATGTGCTGTAAAATATCTAGGGCTGTGCAAGACTCCATTTATTATGCTTCCTAGCTGTACTGTATATATGTAGTTGCAAAAATTTCGGAGCCCAGTTGATAGCACAAGCCGTGGTCTTGAGTGACACTCTCCGGAAACCATCCTCAGCTTTGGCAGCACCTCCTGAATTGCTCCTGGCAGCACTTCTCCCTCTGGACTCCTGAAGCTCACTCGGGCTGTGGCTGTAAGGCACAAAGGGTCAGCAGAGCCCCCCAGGAGGAGGTGGTTGGTCGGTGGCAGGGGAACTCAGAACCATGTTCATATGAAGCAGAGCTTCGATGACCTGCCCTTGTGCTCCTGAGCATGGTAGAGCTGCGTGCAGCCGGGCTGGGGTGCGGCCTGGTGTCTGTGCGTTGGTGCTGGTAGGCTTTTAAGATGGCTGAGTGGAGATTTTTCTTGCAGTTCATCACTGAATTATTCTGACCTCATCCATCTTCACAGCGACGTGCAAGGAAAGGAGCTGGAGCTGCACAGCCAGTGAAGGATGGCAGGAGCTCTGTGGCTGCTGAGGGATTCTGGGGGCTCCTGGGCTGGAGGCAGGAAGAGCCAAGTGGTGTTTGGACACGTGTGTGCAGCTCAGCAGACTGTACTGCAGAGGTGTCCGTTCAGTGAGAACGGGTTCACCACGGAAGGGATGATGGAGAGCAGCAGCCTGCACTTCTGAGGGAAATGTTAATTTAATGGTCTTTTAAAGGGGGTAGCAGCTGTTGTGGCCTTTTTCTGACCTTCTGTGCTTCCGTGAAGCTTGCGTTTCCTCCCTTGGTGACGCGGGGTGGCACGTGCTGCTGGCCCTGCGGCCGTGCTGACATGGGGTGGCTGTGGGCTCCGGCTGCGTGCTGCCCGCTGCAGGCCTTGCCTAGCAAGGGTTGTCTTGCAGGGCTGGGCAGCTGGCAGGGGTTTGTGCCATCCCCTGGGCTGCTGAGCGCGCCGTGCCCTTGTGAGGTTCCGCTGCCGGCTCCTCAGATGCATCCGGATGCGGTCAAATCGATCCGCAGCGCGCATGGCACAGAGCAGGGGATGAGCTTGCATGTGGCTGCTGCAGAGATAATAGAGACCTCGTTACCATCATGTCACAGCTCTCCCTGCCTGGGGCCTCTTGGTTTTCAGTGTGGAGCAGCAGGCTTCCAGCCTTTTCATTGGGGTTTGTGCTTCTCTGCTGTCTTTCAGAAATGAGGCTTGGCTGAAGCAGAGGGATGTAATCTGCTCACTTATGAATGTATTAGCAGTGTGCCTGTTACCAAATGCTGGGAGCTGGGAAGCACGGGGTGCTGGGCATCCTCCCCAGCCCTGCTGTGCCTTGTGGTGCAGCTCTGTCTCCTGTACCAGCTGCTTCCTGCGTGGTGCTGGGGCTGTTGGGGTGACAAGCTGACCTCACTTGGATCTAGACCAGAGCTTCACAGGTGTCTGGCCACCTCTTTGGGAACTTGGGGTGGCCGCACCGGGACATCTTGTGCAGCAGCTCTTGGTGAGAACCCCACATGCTGTCCCTTGGGTCGATGCTTAGGTTTCCATGGGGAAGTTTGCTCAGATTCGTGTCTGCTTTGGCAGTGGTGTGAGGGAAGCTGCTTCGGCCCTGGGGTGATGGCGCCTGCAGTGCAGTGCTGTGGGAGTGAAACAGGGCGAGGGGTGAGCTGTGCCGGGGATCGCTGCGAGCTGAGGTGTGCTCTGCCCACCTGGGGACAGCTCTGTCCTTAGGGAGTCCTGCTGAGCCCCACAGGTATCCGGGGGCCGCTGCTGCTCCTTGCCTGTCCCTGGGGCCGGGCAGTCAGCTGGGCACTGCATGCTGGACGTGGCACGGCGCAGAGGGTGCTTGCAGTGACGCGGCTGGGACAGATGGTGCCCTTATGGAGCCCGCAGTGACTTTGTGGGAGTGACATGTGCCCTCCCCGCCATCAGGCTCCATCCGTGCAATTTCCTCTTCCCAGCCGGGCTCTTGTGTCGCTTTCCCCGCACACAGCAGGGCGGCACCGCTCAGTGCCTGCCCTAAATAACAGCACGCTGTGGGAGGGGATGACAGAAAGGAGCATAGGGGGACCTTATGACCTCTGGTGCTGTTCGGGGTCGCACCAGCACAAGGAAGACTCAAGGAAGAAGAGGTGCTCGCTGAATGTGCTCAGCTGCAGATCTCCTGACAAAATGTCCCCTGCTCTGTGCAGGACTTGGGGGCACCAGGCGGCCGCTGCTGGGCGCGGGGTTTCCCGGCTGTGCTGCAGTGCCGTCTGTCTTAATTAGCGGCAGACGGTTGATGCTGAAAACGAAGCACAGCGCAAATGAAGTGGGATTTGTGGTCACGTGTAAAGCAAAATGCAAACGTGGATCCCAGAGCATTTTGCTGGCTTTGGGAGATGATGCTGTAGCTTCTCCCGTGCTGCACTGCTGGGCTGGCTTCTGGAACCTTCTTCATCATCCCGGGGCTTGCTGTGTGGCGCCATGGGGAATTCAGACCAGTGGGGGAGGAGGAGGGCAGATGGTGAATTCTGGGCTTCCAGAAACCAAATTGTGGGTGGGCTGAGCTTGGGAGGAACCTCTGGAACCTTTGGTCCCACTCTGCCACCCAGGGTGGGTTGCCCCACACCATGTCCAGATGGCTTTTAAGCATTTCCAAGGAGGGAAATCTGTGGCCTCTCCGGGCGGCCTGTGCCGGTGCTTGGTCACACACACAGCATTCATCGTGTTCTGAGAAACCTCCTGTATTCCAGTGCCTCTCATTCTGGCCCTGGGTGTCGCTGACAAGAGCCTGGCTGTGTTCTCTTTGCACCTTCCCTTCAGGTACTGACAGACACTGATGAGATCCCTCTGCGTCTCCTCCAGCCTAAGCAGCCCCAGCTCTCCACCTCTCCCCGTAACGTGATGCTCCGGACCCTGAATTATCCTTGCGGCCCTTCACGGGTCTCTCCCCAGTGGCTCCAGGACTCTCTTGTGCCAAGGATGGAGATCTGGATCCAGGACCCCCATGTTGAGCAGAGGGGAAGGGTGACCTCCCTTGGCTGGTGGGCACTGCTTGGTCTGATGCAGCCCAGGATGCCATCAGCCTTCCTTCTGGGAGAGCACATCACTGCGTCACGGTCAGCTGCGGGCAAGCTGAGCACCTCTCCTCATTGCCTGCTCTGTCCTTTGGAGGGGGATGTTACCATCAAGGCACCCCAGCATGCAGGGTTCCTAGAAGGGGTTTGTGATAATCTCTGTGGCAGTGCTGTGTAGGCACTTCCTTGCTTACCTACAGGTGCTGGAGATGACTGTACTTAACTTTAAAAACTCCCATTTTGTTGATCCTGTGATCCCTCCATGGTCTCATCCCTCCTGCACAGGGCTGCTGGTTACTCCTCCCTGCAGTTCTTAGTGCCTTCCTTATGAGGTCAGGCATTGCATCCTCCTGGCAAAAAGTGTCTTTTCCTTGGTTTGCCAGGTGGGTCCCATCTCTCTGAGTGGATTCTGATCCTCGTCACAGAACATCAAACCCTGCTGCCAACAGCAGATCTGCAGCCCAACATTGAATCATGCTCTGCACGTACCCTGCTCCACACAGACAGGGCTGGGGACAACATCTGGTCTGTGCCCCACAGCTCTGTCATCCTTTCTGATGCTGGACACCCTTCTTTGTGCCCACGGATGGGTCTGGGCAGCAGTACTGCTCTTTGTACCCATTGGGGGCAATCTGTCACTTGCACCTTAGTGCTCTTGGATATCTTTGGATACTGCTTTCATGGCTACCAAAGCAAATGGTGCCATGAGCAGTGGCTAGAATAGAAAGCTGGGGTCTGCTCTAGAGGGCTCCACCCAACCCAGCCATCCTAAGTTGAAGAAACAGTTTTCAAACGGAAAAAGCTGGCTGTCACCTGGCATATTTCAGCGTGAGAGGAATTCTGTAGATCCCTGCTGTCTGTATCGGCCAGCTGTGTGCATGTGTGAATGGAGTGCAGGGCAGTGAGCTGCTGCGTGGCAGCGTGCAACGTGTGTGGCAATAATTAGATGAACAAAGACAGTCCTCACTGCTAAATCTTCCCCATACCTCTTGCTGCTTCGGACAGAGTATGAAGAAACTTTTCTACCCCATTACTTTTCCATTTCCATTTTTCTCTGTCATCTATCTTCTTTGGATGATGTCTTTTAAATGCCTCCATATACAGAGGACATGAAGACTGTCATTTTTCTTCCCGCTGCGAGTTTGTGTTCCCCGCCTTGCTGGGACACGAGGTGATGGTGACACACACGTGTTACTGCAGAGAGGGACTCCCCCCCTCCTTTACCTGCTGAGCTTTTTCCAGTTTGGATCTATTTTCTGTTCTGTCCCACCTTTCCCACGCTCCGTAACATGTGCCCTGTTGTCCCATTCCTGTTGTTGCAGAGCTGAGGGCAGCTCAGCGAGCACATGCAGTTCTCCCATCAGGTGTGTGTGGCTGTCGTGAGCCTCCTACACTCTCCACAGAAGGCTGAGGACTGGCACGGCCTGCTGCACAGTGATGCTTGTCGTGTCTTTATTGCTGGAGCCGGATGCCATCTGCTCTCTGGAGCTGCCCGTGGTGCAGCAGTGCTGTCCCAGCTGCTGGGAGCTGCTGAGGAAAGGGGCGAGCGGTGGTGCGCCAAGGGGAGCTCCTGGGTGGGTCTGTCTGTTTGCAAAGAACTCGTTGATCCTTCTCTCTGTCTTTTGCAGGCGAAGGACAGTGATGACGATGACGAAGTCACCGTCAGTGTGGACAGGGACCGCTTCATGGACGAGTTCTTTGAACAGGTGAGAGCTCTCGTCTGTGATGCGGGTTCCCAGGCGGGCGGTCCAGTTGGGGTTGGATGTCCTGCCCTGACTGATGCTGCTCTGCTGCTGCTCGGCTTCCAGGTCCCCGGGCTTCACCGAGCACTGAATAGCGGCTGCCACGCAGGTCTTCCCTGACCCCAGGGCTGCTCCTGTAGAAAGCAGCGGGGCGACTGAGCCAGCTGACTGCTCAGTGGGAGCATGGGAGGCTGTGGACACAGGCTGCCATGTAGGAGGCTTTCTTGCTGCAGTATGCATGCCATCAGAGCAGACAGGCTCTAACGTGTCTCCTGAAGGCACCTCTGCAGAGTAGCACTTTCAGCATGGGACTGATTTAATTCTGTGCCTCTCGTTACCAAACAAGAGGTTGTCTTATGGCATGTGGGTGGCAGTGAGATATGCACGCGGTTTTTTAGCCTACCCTTAGCATGGCATGTGTGTAGGGGGTGTAGAAATGTATCTGTGCAGGCAATGGAGCGTGGAATGAAAAATCTGACATGCGGTTGAATGAAGATGAGCAAAGCGGTGGTGTGAGTTGAAGAAGACAGAGCTGAGTGTGTGCAGGCAGAGGGCACAAGTAGAGGTTCCCAGTCTCGAGGTTGCTGGCTTGCTTCCTCATTTCCTTGAGGTGCAGGGAAGATGCCAGCATGGAGAAACCTCATCTCATTTGGCCTTGCTGCCACCACGAGTGAGGGACAAAGAGGAGTCTTCAGCCCTTGGAGCAGAGGCTGGGGTCTGAGCCAGAGCTGGGCAGTGCTGGTACAACCGGAGCCACTGCTTTATGTCAGAGCTGTGGAGTCTGGAAATTCATAGATCTGATGCTCATTTAAACAGGTCTCCAGTGTTTCTCAGTTTATCACAAGGCATGCAGGGCCCAGAGCGTATACTGCTTTGCTGTGACTGCAGAGCTGGTTGCTGTGATATGGAAAGCTTGATTTCATGGCAGCCCTGCAGTGTGAGAATTCACTGCAAAACGCTGGCCCAGGAAGACATTTGTTAAAGGTCAGATGTGCCAAGGATGCCTTTCAGTAGCTTCTCACGGTAGTCTTGTGTTCTTTTCTGTCACCACAGGTGGAAGAAATACGAGGGTTCATCGATAAAATCTCAGAGAACGTGGAGGAAGTGAAGAGGAAGCATAGTGCCATTCTTGCTTCACCCAACCCTGATGAGAGTGAGTGGGCCGGGAGCTGCTCATGTCCCTGCTGGCCGTGGGGCTGCTCCTAGGCTGGGCAGATGGGTGGAAGTCTCCTTGTCCTCAGGCAGTGGTTGCTGGAAAACTCCATTCCTGAGGTGGCTGATGGTTGTGGGGGTCTCACATGGGTGGGCAGCGCAGCTCCACCATGCTGCTCTCTCACTTCCTCAAAAGCCTGGGGGAGAGAACATAAAAACAAATTGAGATAAAGAGAGGGAGATCACTAACAGCTACCGTTGCGGGCAATACAGGCCCAGCATGAGGGAGGCTAATGTGATTTATTGCCTGTTACGCACAGTGACAGTGCTGTCACTGACTACCACTTGTCCTCCCCCTGCCTTCGCCTCCCTTCCCCTCTGAACAGCACAGCGGAGTGGTGCTGTGCTCAGTCCCTATTGTTCTGTCTCTGCTGCTCCCCCGCTGCCTCTGCTCCATGTGGGCTCCTTCACATCTGCACAGGGAGATCTGCTCTGCCTGGTGCCCGTGGGCTGCATGGGGACAGCCTGCTCCTCACCCTGCTGGGGGCCAGGAACCTTGCTTTGTGAACCCAGTACAGTGGTCTATGTGAGAGAAGGATGAGACCTACACAGAAAAGAGAAAGGAAAGATTCTTGCTGGCTTTCTGACCTTGAGAGAGAGAGGGTGAGGTTTCAGAGAGGCTGGTGGAGAATTCCTGAAGGACAGGGCAGCATAGAGGCTGAAAATAGCAGTGACAGTTTTGAGGCTGGGTGGCTTGCTTTCTTGCTCTGCCCAGTTCAAGTGCTTGTTCAGCACCTCCGTTTGTATCTGTTACACCAACTGCAGGCAGAACAGGCACAGCCCGTGCTGACTCGGCATCAGGAGCCAATGGTACAGCCCTGTGAGCCTGCAGGTGTGCACTGTCCCCACCGTCCTTCAGGATGTCTCATTGCTGACTTGAAGCTGTCCCAGGTGCAGGCTGTGCCCTGGCTGCCAGCTGAGGTGCTGGGGCAGTCACTGGAGGTATTGATGAGGGCAGCTGGTGTTCTCAGCACGGGGATTTTCCAGTTGCAGAGAGGAGCACCATGTCTCAGGCTGCTGTTTGCCTGTTCTCTAGGCGCAGTTGCTCTGTGCTTGCAGTGTAGGATTTAGCAGTGTTTCTGTTTGGGTGTTGTTAGGAAGGAGCTGTTGCTGCTTTGCTTCCCGCTGCCGGGCACACACAGCATGCAGCAGCCTGCTCAGCGCTGAGCCACCGCTCCAGTTGCAAAGGGCACTCATGGCCTCGAAGTATGATCTATTTAAAAGTCTGAGATCTGCAGCGAACAAGATACAGTGACATTGGTATGACTTCTAGAAGCAGGAACATTGGGAGTGCTTCTGGTTTTGTTTTACAAAATTACCTTGTCTTGGTGTTGCAGAAAATTCAGCTTATGATGCCAGAAAGCATTTGGGCATCGCAGAGGAGCCTCTGCATTGTTAAGTAATCCATGTTTTGTAACACTGTCGCACATGGAGAAGGTGCAGTGGGGCTGGCCAGGTGCTCAGTGGTAGGTAGCAAACCAAGAGGCAGCGGCAGATCAAAAAGAGCTGGAGCTCAGCCCTGCATTTTGGTTGGTATTTTAGGAGTTGAACCCTCGGGAGCATTGCCTCAGTGCTTCAGCGTCTTGCAAGACCTCCATTGCAAAGGTGGTGGGAAGTGATTCCTCTTGAGTTTCAGAAAAAAAGGATGCAGACTTGTAATTGCTGTCTGGAGGCAGCTGTGCTGCTGGTGGTGCTGCCTGGCTCGGTGTGTGGTTTAGCTCCTGCACGAGGAGGTGCAGAGCAGCACAGGGAAGCACTCGCTGGAGCTGCGCAGCCTTGGGGCAGGGCTTCGGAAGTGGGAGCAGAGCTGGGCTGTTAAACTGGGAAACGGATCAGCGGTGGTTAGAGATGCTGCTGGAGCACCAAGAGGATGGATGGATGGATGGATGGATGGATGGATGGATGGATGGATGGA